GTTTCAAATGTCTTAGCATTGGTTTCGTGATTATGTGTACTATCGGTGTACTCGTGAGCGCCCTTTGCGTCGAGGGTTCCGCCGGTCGGTGTGACGGATGAGCCGTCGGGAGAGCCGCTCACAGCACTGGTCATTGAACCGGACGTGTGATGATCATCGGTATTATGGTTGTGCTGGCCGTCCACGGGATCATTCAATTTGTCCTTATTGTACGCCGAGTCCAGTATTTGCTCTGAATATATAGTTTAATAAATCATTTTTAAATGCTTTATAAATTGCTTTGTATTATAGGACTTATTAAGACATGTATTTTGTTTTATGCAGTTTTTATGGCTTTATAACGGTAGACAAATTAACACGTTTAGTGGTTTTCGGACATTTATAATGCTTTTATATTGCATTTTAAATATACTTTTAACATAATAATTAATTTAGAAATTTGTTATTTTATTCCCATTTAAAACAATTATTATATTTTTCACTTAAATCTTATTTCACACGACAGTTATAAGCGATTAATTATTTTTCTTGAGTATAATTTTGGTGTTTTTCATTCACTTGTGGTCTAAATCCTATGCTATTTTGGAAATAAAGTTTTCTTGAAATACTAAACTCAAAAATATAATTAACAAATTATTTATAACTATACGTAAAGTTAGTCGATAATAAAAAGTGTGATTAATAGCACTTAAACGCCTACATTAACAACGAGTTAATGGACTAAAAATCAGCAGTAATTCACACGACAGACATCTAAATGTGAGCTAAAATTATCGTTGAATTGCACTTTAAATGCATTAAACGATTAAATGATAGCATTAATGTGTTTTACACGTCAATATGATTAACATTTTGTCGCATAAATTAATCAATGAATTAATCGTTTGACTGAAGACTAGATCCCATTTGAGAGACAATATGAATATCATTAACGTATGTAATGTTCATCAAAGTGTTGTCCGACTCTTGAATTAATTTAAATATTATGCAAAACATATGAATATAATTTTGGGTTTTAATGAACAAAACTATTTCCTAAAACATATAAAACTATTCTAAATGTAAATATAGTGTAAAACAAGAATATTCTGTAATAAACTAAATACTAGATTAAAAACATTGACCTGAGAAATATATGTGTAAAATGCAAACCTCGTTCAAAAAACTCGATAATTGTCCTCTCTTTGAGAGCCCTCTCATTATTGGCTCGCCTGTCATGAGTGTCCACTTTCTTATTTTTCTTGGTATTGAGTTCTTCGCGTGAATTAGATCCGCGATCTCTATTGTATTGATTCCTCTTATAGTCCATTCCCTTCGCACTGCCCTTAAGACCCGTTTGACTCTCGCTTTTCAATTGATTTGACTCCGAAGTAATCATTTGATCGTCGCCTCCGTCGCCGCCATTGGCATCAGTGGTGACGGTGTAGTCGTCGTTAGATTCGCTGGCAGTCATCTCATCCGACAACAAGTCGTTGCCATCGTTTAGCACTTCTTCCGTCACATTACTGTCGCCTATTTTGAGACACAATTAAATTCATACAAAATAATTACGACATTAATTGGATGGCCATTAAGAAGACTAAACACACGATAACTAAAACTTTTAGGCAATAAAAAATATATTTAGCAAAACAATAAAGATTTTGTCGATAAGAAAAGTTAAGTTTCATTTCAATCGATAACGTGTCTGAATGTCTGAAATGACGATAAATTGTTGCGAAACACACTGTAATAGCTATTTGTATGATAGGCTTAATTACCGGATTGTGGCGATCGATAGACAGTAACCCTATATCCGAAACTCTTCTTAATGAGCCCGTCCTCATCCAAATCGTTATGAGTATAACTATTGTTATTATCAGTACTCAAGTGGTCAACGATATCGCGGTATTCGTTGCTATAAGTGCTGTTTGGGTCGACATAAGTGTGGGACACGTCTTCCTCCTCCTCTTCATCGGATCTCCTGTCCATCACTTTGTCTCCCGTATAGACGTTGTCGTAATAACCGGGCGGATAGTACCCGACGTATGTACCTATCATTCAAGTTATTGTCATTAAAATTGTGCTCAAAATAATAAGTGCATTCATCTCCTGTCCACCACTTTGTCTCCCGCATAGACGTTGTCGTAATAACCGGGCGGATAGTACCCGACGTATGTGCCTATCATTCAAGTTATTGTCATTAAAATTGTGCTCAAAATAATAAGTGCATTCATTTGTTAGGATTTGTTGCATTCAATTTATCGTTCAACTCATCGCATGTTTTTTTTTGGTTTAGAAATTAATGGAAAACTAATGACTGAAATGAGTCCCAAACTTAACATTAATGTATTTTTGTGAGATATGAAAGTATTTTTTGCCACAAAAGTGAAAAGTCATAACTTTTGAGTTTTCATTAACTATAATATCAATCATTTTGATTAATGTATTCATCCCTTCTATGAACTGGAGAGAGACAATATGAATATCATTAACGTATGTAATGTTCATCAAAGTGTTGTCCGACTCTTGAATTAATTTAAATATTATGCAAAACATATG